ATCGCCGTGGCGGTGGAAAAAGGATGATGCGGTGAGCGTGATGATGTTCTTTGAAACAGATTAGAGAACAATAGTTGCGACGACAAGAACTATCGCCGCAACGAGCGTTACTTCATGAAGAGATAGTAACGTTCAGGTTTTCTTTTGGACAGCAGTTTAAAGTGGTTAAGGATGTTAAAACTAACAAATTGTTTCAAATCGTGATGGAGTTATTTAGAGTTATCTCTTTAGATAATTTATATATACCAGTAATACTAGGTTTACACCACCATCTCACATCACTCTCACACATCATGACGTGGCACTGTCATGTCAACAAAATGCCACGCAAGTTCCCCCCAAATTATAATTTTTTTTTTAAAAAACACCCCAAAATTTCAGTTCCCCCTAAATCTAATCTCTCTCCCAAAACAAAATCAACGTCAAACTCTCTTCTTGCCCTAAATTAAAAATCTCTCTCAAAGCCCAAAATTTCAATTCTCAATTTACCTAAAACAAACCCCAAATCGATCTCGGTTTCTCCAAAATTTCAACTCTCAATGTACCTAAAACAAACCCCAAATCAAATCTCAGTTTCTCCAAAATACAAACACTAAAATCTCTCTCCAATTTTCCTTTAAAGATTAGTGAACTTGATTCTTTCTAAGCCCACCACGGTTTCCTCCAATTGCGTCCCCAACGAGCGCTGCACCTGTAAAGTGATTATTTCCCACTTGCTAGGTTCCAAAACGTTGCACCTGTAAGGTTAGGCATTGTTTATATAATTTGTTATAGTTGTTGTTTGTAGACTGTATTTTTTTGGTTTTTATTCATGTAATTTATTTTTGTTTGATTTTTTTTTTTAGCTGTTTGTTTTGTTCACTTGTTCACAGTTTTAGCTAGTTTCACAAGGTGGTGATTTAATGAGTGCTTTTATTATTTCAAACTAACCATAAATCCCTTCTTTACAAAGTGACTTAAGCTGCTATTTGATTTCCACATTATCTATTTTGATTTGCTAGTTTAGCTTATATTCTCTCTTACGTATCTTTCTGCCACTTTAGTCTGTATAGAGAATTTTTATTGGTTGTATAGTTTTAGTATTACAAGATTCATATCTGGGCTAGTGCCGGGATTAATTTTTATAATGGTGGGTAGCATTTGTTTATTTCTTCCCATTTGTTGTTCTGTGGCCTAGATACAACTGTAGCTAATTTAGTTTTGTTTTATGATGGGTTGTGGTAGCAATGTGTTCAGACTATTGTCGCGAAGAGAGTTTGTCCTCGAACAAAGCGTTTGTCCAAAAGATGATGGAGAGAAGCTTCAAAGCAGTGTTCTAGTTCCTTGGAGTCAAGGTTTGAAAAGGAGCCAGATTCAAGATGAGGTCTTGTCTCATGGTAAATCTTGGGTTTATTGTTTTGCTTATGTTGTCTTGATGCTTGATAGGAAATGTTAGCAATAGTACTCAGTTTTGGATGGTTAAATTCATTGTGATGTTTTGGGGTTTGACATTATTTTTCTAAATTTAAACTACTTCATTGGGTTCAGGGTAGAGTCAGAATCATTGCGCGTCTATCAGCAGATTATTGTGCATTGTTGCCTCCCCCAAGGTCAACTATTGTAGCAGCATTCAGCCCTGATGGGAAGGCGCTGGCTTCTACATAGTAAGTTGTAATTTCCTTGTTGATGCTTACTGTAAGGATGGTATGTTTATGCCAAGAGATGTGTTTTCTTGAAACTACATTTTGTTTTTGTTTATGTAGTGGGGACCATAGGGTAAAGATTATTGATTGCCAAACTGGAAGATGCTTAAGAGTGTTGCGTGGACACCGGAGGACACCCTGGGTGGTAGCTCTCTGTTATGATCACTTTGACATGATTTTATCTTTCCTATCCACATGTATTCGACGTGTTCCAAGAAAATCTATTCATATGAAAGCTACAATGGATCACATTTTTGGTAGCTTGCAGTAAATTTATTGGTAATAATGAGCTACTTTCATTTATTCAATTCCTTGTGTGCATGGTAAGTAGATAAATTTTTTTAAGTTGAGAAGGTAGCTATATACTTTGGATATCCTTTCAGTTTGTTCAAGTGACCAAAATCTTCTCTTTCCTAGTGCTTATTAATAAGTTATGTTATCTTAACATGTTCTACATATATAACAACTCACCTAACCTTTTTATTTAAATTAGATTACTCGATTCATCTGTCACTATAGCACTATTACGAGCTGTATTTTGCCATCATGTCTCATGAGACCTCAGCCCTTATTCACCTCAATTTTTCAGTTTATTTCTTTAGTTCACCTTGCTGAAATTGATCCTTTGTACTAACCATTCATTATTATTAATTCTGAATGCCTAAACATTTTGGATGAAATGTGCAGCTTTTTCTTGATTAGTACTTCACTTTACTTCTATCACACTCTCTATGTTCTTTCACTTTGCATATGAATTATGGTTTAGCAATATGCAGTTGGTGTGGTTGGGGGTGTTCACTTTAAGCATGATTTTTTAATTGTTCTTTTACTTTAAGTGGTACTGTTTTTAGCTTTTCTTTTTGGTGTGATTGGGACTGGAAAGGGTACAACCAGGTGGAGGGGTTGAGGGTTGCTATGAGTTGGGGTAATCCTTGTTGGGAGATTGGCTTGTTTTTCTGCTGTAGTGGGTGATGTGTCCCATAGCTGCTGGCAGCAGCTTGGTTTGGCCTGTTTCCCTTCACTTTTCGTGAGCTGCTGCTGAAGATTTTAGTGGCTGGATTGGGTTTTTGCTTGCTGCAACTGCTTGTTTTGTTTGTCTGGCTTTTTTTGAAGATTTGGCTTCATTGAAGTCTTGGATTGGTGGCTTAAAAAAGAAAATTAGTTTCATTAGTTTCTAGTTAATAAAGCCTAGTAGTTTAATAAAGATACAAAAGTTATGCTATCTACAACCGTTTGTATATAGATTAAAGTGCCACTTATTAATTGAGTTAACTTGTGTATTTCACTCTTCCTTTATAGTTGTGTTACATCAATTTTTATACAATAGTTTGTATAAAAAAAATTTTAAGTGGTATTATTCTAAATAAAACAAGGTTCTTGAGTTGTGTCCTGGTGTAACTTAATATTAATATCAGAGTCTTCTCTTCTTATGTTGTGTTTTTATAGGGGGATGTGGTTGATAAGCTAACGATTCAGATATTCAGGGACCCTCATCATGAAATTGTCATTTTAACACTATGAAGTGGGGTAATCCTCGTTGGGAGGCTAGCTTTTTTTTTTATCTGCTGCAGTGGATGATGTGTCCTATGGCTGATGGCAGCAACTTAGTTTGGCTTGTCTCCCTTCACTTTTCGTGAGCTGCTGCTGAAGTTTTTAGTGGCTGGATTGGGTTTTTGCTTGCTGCAACTGATCGGAGGAGAGTACTGATACTGATCAAAACAACCAGCTCATCACTTTTTTTTCTTACTGCTGTAATGTATGTTGTTTACACGTTTTTATAATATATGTTGTAATGTATGTTGTGTACAAGTTTTTATAATGCAACATTGAGGTTCTATTTCATTATTGGATGAATTTTTCTCTTGGATGTACTTTTTATTTTAAGTTTCATGACAAAAAAATCTAGCAAGTAATTGAAGTCTTGTTAGGGTGGAAATAAGAGATTATGAATGCATCATTTAAAGTTTGTAACACTTGTTTTGAATTATCTCTAACTCTCCTGTGAATGATCACTTACTATCTTGAGTTAAAAAATCTGCATAAATTTATGACAAGTTACTAAGTGCTTTTGTTTATTGCAAATCAAACCACAAAACATAATATAGTACAATCAACAAAGATACATTTTTTATTCTCTGCTTAATACAAGAAAACAAAAGGAAGTTTTTACAATTTCTCAACCATCTTCCTATACTCTGCGCACAACCCTAAACAAGCAAAGGACCCCGCCTAACAAAAGAAAGCAATATCCAAGCAACAACACAACAGCAACATCCAAGCAACAACACAACAGCAACAAGCAAGGGACCCTAAAACTACCCACAAAATAGCAGCAAAAAAATCAATTGGAGAAGTGAATCAGCCATAGCCCCACGCTACAAATCACAGCAGCAAAAAATCAATTGGAGAGGTGAATTAGCCATAGCCCCATGCTACAAACCACAGCAGCAACATCTAAGCAACAACACAGCAGCAAGAATAGACATCCAACAGCAAAAAAGCAGCAAGAACAGCCCCCTACTAGTAAAAAAAATTGCAGCAGTAGGGGAGAAAATGAGTCTATAGCAACACACAAAGACCCCAGCGCCAGCTGCCTCAATGCAGCCCTCACCTCCTCCCACAAAGCCAACCACCCCAGCACCAAAAACACCCCCCAACCGCCAGTCCCTCTCACCAGCCACACAAACCACACACAACCCCAAGAGACGGGTCTGCAGCAGCCACAACACAGGACCCCAAACCAAAAAGTCAACCCACGCACCAGGAGAGAAAAAAAACTGAAACAATATCCCTTCCTCCAGAAACATCTTTGCCAAATGCACCACGCAACAAACTAGAAACAAGCCCCACACCCTCCCATTGCCCACCCACCATCCGCACCAATTAGGGAGCAACTTAAAATTTTAATTAACTTATTTGTCTTAGTGAAAACGTAACTTTCCATTTCTGGGTTCTTAATTTTCTCTTCATCCAAATAGAAAATTAGAAGTTAATAAGAAAAAGGAAATTATATAGTAGTGTTCTTACCATTAAGGCCATTAGTTCAGACTGCAATCTATTCATTCAAACATATAAAAATGAACAATTAGAAAATCCCAAAAATCCTAAAGGAACTTTTAGAAATAAGCAATAAAATCAACATAAAAATCCAATTAAAGAACTCAAAGATTCGCCTTTGAAAAGGATAGGCTGGTGGTGGTGGAAGATGATAGATAGTGTACTGGAGATAAGATTTATAAAATAGTTCTTGTTTTAAGGTTGTTATCTATTTTCATTAGCCAGTTAGAGGCTCTCAAAACCAAAACAACAACAACAACAATGGCCTCAGCATCGGCTTCTCTCCTCAAGTCATCTCCCGTTCTTGACAAGTCTGAGTGGGTTAACGGCCAGACCATCATCTGTCAGCCCTCTGTCTCTGTTGTTAGATGCCACCCCAACGCCCCTTGTGCTCTTACCATTCGTGCTGGTTCCTATGTTGATGAGCTCGTCAAAACTGTGGTGCTGAGTTCAAGTTCCATTCTAGGGTTTCAATTGGATTTTGGGAGAGAAAATTTTTCTAGGAAGAGGAGTTGCGCATGACAGTGGTGGAAGATTGATTGTAGGGCAACTTTGAGAGAGATTTCTAATTTAGGGGAAGAAGATAGTTTGACGTTTTGATTTTGTTTTGGCAGAGAGATTAGATTTAGGGGAAAATGAAATTTTGAGTTTTTTTTTTTTATAATTTGAGGGGAAATTGCGTGGCATTTTGTTGATGTGGCAGATGATGTGACAGTGCTATATCATCTGCCACATCATGATGTGTAAGAGTAATGTGAGATGGCGGTGTAAACCTAGTATTATTGTTTGGCCTATAAAAAGCGAACAAATTCATCAGTATTAAGTAGCGGCTACCTAATGGCTAATCAGTTTTGCTCCATAGAGTCTTAATTTTTTATTTTCCTAATTTTATTTTTTCGCTCATTCATTGATGAGAACACAATGATATAGTGATGAAGGAGGAAGGTTTCTCGTGATGACTGATGACCAAAAATGATGACGAGTCTGATTTTTTCCATTCTCTAAATTGTGATGACAAATCGAGGCATTTGTCTGAGAGAACTTCATGCCCTAATCATTATTTTTCCTCTTAATTTTTTTTATGAAACATAAATAAATCTGTTAATTTGGGTGTTCAAATCGAGGCAGTTTTGATTAGCTATTAAAACAATATCATTCCGTAGGTTACACTTAAATAAACTAAATTGTGATTGAACAAAACTTCTATGGAAAGAAACTTAATTTTGAGACAATAGATATAATAAGCAAATCTGCATCTTCAAACTAATTAATAATACAATCGATAATATAATACAAGGCACATCGGCAGAGTAGATAGACATAGAGGTTTTAGTTTTAGGGTTTTTTTCAATTTTCAAAATCCCCAAATCAGATTTTTATATATTTTGGATAGAATAAAGATAGTTGACAAATACTTCTCCCAACTTTTTCTCACAAACGGATTCATTATTGGATAGATGAGACCCATTGCGAGTTGACTAATTTTTTAACGTTTGTGAGAGAAAGTTAGTGAGAATGGTTTGTCAGTATAGTATTATTGTTTTGGATATGAGTGTATTTGTCAATTTTAAAACTAAAAAATTACAGTTACCCCGTATTACTTTCAAAAGTATCACATATATCCTCGAGCTCGTTCAAACTCGCGAGCTTGTCGAGCCAAGTAGTACCATATTCGAACTCAGCTTGATACTGTAGTCGAGCCGAGCTTGAGCTATTTCCAAGCCGAGCAGCTCGGCTCGAATCTCACCCCTCACACGACTTTGTTTTCGTATTTGGGCAATTTGGCCATTTTAAGGGTATTTTAGACTTCCCGTTTTGCGCTTTAGCCTTTGGGTTAGATTTTGAAACTTGAAACGATGAGAGTTATTTTCTTATTTTTTTGCCAAATTATTTCCTCCGTCCGTGACAATTGAAAATTCTAAACAAAAGATCAAATTGAAAGCTCCCATAGATTGATTAGATTCCTACTTAACTATATGTTACAATAAGGTAATTTTCAAAGCAACTTTTTTCTCGGTGTTTATTATTATTATTATTACTACTTTTGAAATTTAAGATTTTTGATCTGGTTGGTTGATTCTTTGCGTATAATTAGACTAAATTAATCACAATTGAATGTTTAGGGACAAACTCGAGATGGGTTCTTTGTATCTCACATTGCACTGTAATGGGTATTTTGTTTTAGGAAGAATTAATTTTCAGGTTGTTAATTCAGTAAATGTCTATACTCTGTTAGTTTATACTCACGCAATCAATCTTGGCTGCTTCAGCATATGATTCTAGTTAATTTGGCGGGAATTTTGATATAAACCACTAAAATAGCATGATCTTTGTATCCCATTTCAGCGCCGTCTTATCTTCATTGTTTTTCAGTGGCGGCTATGGTGCCTTTCTGTAATTGGTGGCGGCTCTAGTGCCTTCAAGGAATCTTTGTGTCTTGAATTGGCTTTGCTTTGTGTCTTAAATTGGAAGGTGAGTTTCTAAAAGTTAACTTTGTCTTGAATTTTTTATGCTCCGTTTGTGTCTTAAAACGTTCTCTTGAATTGGTGATTGGTATTGGGGTGACGATATGTTCTAGTTTAAATCCACAGTGAACGGAGAAGTGGGAGCTGAACTGCAGAGGTTTTGTACCGATACGAACCGCTTAAAAGTGATAATATTTCATATCTTCTAGTTCATTGTATGGTTGGTTTATTCGTTGTGAATGAACAATTAAGTTACACCAAATAATTGAAACAACAANCCCTCTCAATCCTTGAATGTATAGCATCTAAACCTGCTTTAACTATCAAATTGATGATGTGACAAGCACATCTCTGGTGATAAAATTTGCCTTCACCAAGCGGATCTAATTTCTTTTCAAATAAAGAGATTGCCGCGGTGTTAGCAGCTGCATTATCAAGCGTTAGCGCTACAACTCTGTCAGTTAATAAATATTCTTGCAAAACTTCAAGAATTGTAAAATAAATAGTTTCAACACTATGTTTTTCATATAATGGTTTAAAATCTATCAATTTTTGTTGTAAACCCCAATTATGATCTAAGAAATGTATTGTGACAGTTAAAAAATCGGTTTTTGATCTACAAGCCTATATATCTGATGTAAGTGTAATAGATATATTCCTAAAATTTTGAAATTCGTTTTTAAGTTTATTATTTATTTTGTTATAAAGTTTTAGTATATCTCTTCTAATTGTACTTCTACTAACAGGGGTATATGCTAGACAAAATGCAGTTTTAATCATATTAAAAAAAAAAAAAAAGATTTTTAGGTAAACAAATGGGAGAGTCCATAGCAACTATATATCTTGCTATTTCCTCTTGTGCAACATGTGTATTGTATTGCCATATTGAGAGAGTTGAGGATTATTGATTAAAATTGAGTTGAGTTTGAATTTGTCTACCTGATCCGCTTGAAGATGCATTTATTTGGGGATGCTTCTTCTCTACGTGTCGTCACATCGTCGAAGTCCCCTTCTCAGCGCCAATAATGGCTCCACATAAATTACATATCCCACATGATTCTTCCCCCTCCTCATTTGTCTTTGGCCGTTTTGATTTGGTGAAGTATCGCCAGACATCGGACACGACCCTCTTTGACAGTCAGGGGGGTTGGGCTATGTCCATGCCCATTGGCTCGCAGCTCGCATGTGTTTGGCTACACCTCGTCTTGACTGAATGTGGTTGTGGAATTGCAGCTGCTTCCTCTGGAGGAAATGGTGAAAATGGATTGAAGCCTTCAATTTCTTCGGTGGATGGAATGTAAAACTCATTTGGGGAAGACATTATAAATTTATGATAAAATAATAAATAATTAAAATGAAAAGAAATTAAATAATAATATGAAATTATGATGATATTGAAAAATAGAAAAAAATTTGAATAATATAAATAAATTATATGAATAAATTATAAAAATAAATTTAATGAGAAATTGATTGGAGATTTGGAGTAGAGAGATTAAGAGAATGAAAGAATGAGAGATTGATTGGTGTGAAAAAAATGAATTTATAGTGTAGATTGGGAAGGGAATGAAAAAAAAAAAACTTATAATTAATAATATAATTATAACCGTTGGCTACTCTGTTGTGACCGTTGACAGCCAACGGTTATAAAAAGTTAAAATACTTTTATTTTTTTTAATAAATTTTATAAAAATTTATTTTAACCCTTATAATTTATACTTATTTAAAATTAATAAGGGGTTTAATGTAATTTTACAGGGGACTAAAAGGATAAAATACAAAAAAAATTTGGGCCTAGTGGAGGGCCCGGGCCCTCATTCTTAGGCCTGGTCCCGTTTTGGGACCAAGCCTCCTAGGACCGGTCCTCTCAAGGACCGGTCTTAGGACTGGGTTTTGATGCTGGGCTTTTGGGCCCGGTCCCAAATACCCAGCTCTATCTCCAACTCATTGTACTAAATTGGTGCAAGTTTTGTTGTAAAACACTATTGCATCTCCAACTAACTACATCAAATATTACACCAAAAAGAATATTCTTTAGAATATTCTTTTTTTCTTTTATTGTACTAATTAACAATTACTTTATTTCACTCATTATTTTTGTATATATTAATTAAATATTGGGAATGATATTTTTATTAAATAATAATTACTTTGAAAATTATACTAATTTAATAAAATTAAGCATTTATTTAATCAAATAAACATTACATTTAATATAGAAAAAACATTACATAATATAAAATGATACCAAAAAAAAAAAAAAAAAAAAAAAACAACAACGACACAAAAGTAAAATTCCATATTGATAGTAATTTAATTTTTCGAATTAGTATGTTCTTCCCACAAATGATCAATTAATGGATTTCGAAGAGCATGGTGAGCCTACGTGAGTTTTTTCAAAATGAGCAATCAAGAATTACGCAAAAAAGAGCACAACAACAAGGTCAAGGATCTTAAAATAACTCAAGTTCTTTTCAATATTTTGATGATCTTACAGGATCTAGAACTAATCTACCGGAATACTAAATTGTTATTTTAGTTTATGTTTATTTTCTTTTAATTTTAGTATTTTTAAATTAGTGTTAATTTTTATTTTGAGTTATTGTAGTTTAATATTTGCATTGAATAAAATTTTGTTTTTAATTTTTCATCATTTTTTGAATTATATCATTATTATGAATTTATTATTATAAATATTAACATAAATAATAATTAAATTAAATTAAATATATATAATCAAATTTGGTGTAAAATTTTATAATTAAATTAGTTTAACAAAGTTAAAAAAAATTAAAGTGCTACCGTACCACGCAATTTGGTGTGGCGCTAATTTGGCACTTAACGCTGTGTTGGAGCAAAAACCCACGTCATTTTGGTGTTTTTCACACCAAAATGGCGTGGATAAAAACACCATATTGGCGTGGGTTGGAGATGCCCTAACCGTCAAACCTTATTAATCTCAATACGTTTCCATTTCATTTTCATCTTCTTCGTCTTCTTCTCTCTTCATTTCTTCGTTACATGACCCATCTCTCTGATTTGATTCAACATCACTCAGTACCACCACCACTCACCAACGAACAGCCAACTCTTCTGCCTGTCTCTCCATCACTAAAAAAACTGAACAATTTTACGCTTCCAGTCTCCAAAACTTCATTTCTTCTTTGTTCGCAAGCATTGGAAACATCCAAAGGAGAATCATCCAAGCAAACAAACAGCAGAGTTTTCCTTTCTAATGGAAATGGGATGGGGGTTGACTTGGTTTGTTCAAAGTTTGAGTATTTTTTTCTTTTTTCTTTTTTGATGATAGTAAATGCTTTGTTGATTGTTCTGTGAATTGGGTTTGTCGTATGATTGATCAAGTAATGTTGACATTGATCTTATTTGAGATGGGATTGGCTTGATTTTACTGAAATCTGAAAAAATTCAATACTCAAATTGTATCTTACCTGTAAGCATGTAATGGGTTGGTTTTGTTTACTGTTTGCTGAGAGTTCTGTAACTTGGGTTTATTGAATGATTAACCGAATCAGGTTGCGATGGTTGTTTTAAGATAGGTTTGAGATGGGGTTGACCTTGGTTTGATCGGAAACTAAGAAAGTTTGATACCTTTGCTGCATCTTAGAAGAAACTAAAAGAACATGTTAAGTAGATCCAAAATCATTTATGTTTTCTTATGTATAGAGTTGCCTTGGGAGATAGTTGGATCTCTCTAGAGGATTTTGTGGTCAGTTTGTTTGATTTTTTGATTAATTAAAATTCGTATTAACTTTCAATCTGGACGGAAATTTAACTGAAATATGCAGCTTTCTTGGGGTCCTCTGCTTAAGGATGTCTCGCGGCTTGATAACAATGGTTTGGAGAAATCAAACAGGTCTGCATCACATATTTAACATTCTGTATAAACAAAATAGAAACAAATAATTAAGCGGCTGTAAATTTTCTGCTATGATAAAACTTAAATATGATACGCTTTGGCAAACAGTCTGGGTCAAAAGATTAAGCAGCAACTTGAAGATGGTCAATTTGTCGATGCCACAAATTCATGGAGTGAACTTGAAGAAGTGATTAATGCTAGCAGCAGGTCCGTGGTACTCTATATATATATATATATATATATATGTTAAGATTCTAGGGTTTATGATTAAACCTAAATCAGTCTCAAACAGGTCATCAATCAACGATTAAACACAAGGCAAATGGAAAAATAAGAAGAACAAACATAAAACAGGACACAACAATTTATAGTGGTTCGGCTTTACAGCCTACATCCACTCTCCAAGGCTCACAATAGGAATTTCATTATCAATCAATAATATACAGTGAGAATGATTTCATCAGAACATAAAGGAAAAACAAACAAGGAAGGAACACACCAATTTGTAAAGCCCTAATTCTCTCAACCCGAAATCTGCCTTTTCCTCCAGCACCAGCAGGTGTTAAATACACATGCTCTAAGCCTGAGTCGTCATCCAGCTGTCTCTGATTCTCCATAACCACAAGATCACAAAATCAATTCTGGAACATTCGGTAGGGTTGTGAGTTGTCGAAGCAAAACTGAAATGAGAGAGAGGAATGAAGTCTGCACACAAAATGAGATAACCCAAACAGATAACATATTAGGTTTGGCCAAAAACGACGTCGTATAGGAGAGTTTGACTTTAACACTTAAGCTGACTTCCACCGTGGCAAATAAGGAGCCACATCACCACAATTCTCTACCTTGGCTTCTTGATTTGTCACCCCCCTTATGTGGCCTTGGAAATTTACCAGTTCACTCTTGAACTTGAAACAGGCTCATACAGAGCCTGTGTTTTTCAAATGGGACAGATTTTGTGAACATGTCGGCAAGATTGTGAGATCCATCAATTTTCTCAATCTCGATTTCTCCTCTTTCAATCATTTCCCTAATGAAATGAAGACGGACATCAATGTGTTTGGTTCTTTCATGGTAAACTTGGTTTTTTCAAAGGTGAATCACACTCTGACTGTCACTGTTAATCTTCACTGTCTGTTGCTCAATACCCAACTCATTGATCAAACCTTTCAACCAGGTGGCCTCCTTTATTGCCTCAGTCAATGCAACATATTCTGACTCAGTTGAAGATAGGGTAACCATATGCTACAATTTTGATTTCCAACTGACAGTATTTCCCCACAAGGTAAAAACAAACCCAGATGTAGACTTTCTTTTGTCTAAATCTCCTACATAATCTGCATCACAAAACCCCTCAACACACTCATCACAACTATGGTTTTTCTTAAAAACAATTCCTGCTGATTTGGTTCCTTGTAAGTATCTCATAATCCATTTAAGAGCCATCCAGTGAGTCCTTCCTGGATTGCTCATAAATCTGATAACCAAACTTACAGAAAAACCTAAATCTGATCTGGAATATACCATCAAGTACATTAGGCTTCCCAGTGCACTAGCATAAGGTATCCCTGCCATTTCAAGCTTCTCAGTTTTAGTCTGTGGACTCTGCCCATGTGAAAGTTTTAGGTGAGCACCGAGAGGAGTCTGAATAGATTCAGCATCCAGCAGGTTGAATTTCTTCAGAATTTTCTCAGTGTAGTCTTGCTGGACTAACTTTAGACTTTCAGAAGCTTTGTTTCTGATAATGGAAACACCAAGAATTTTCTGAGCCTGACCCAGCCCTTTCATTTCAAACTTGGTGTTCAATAACCTCTTCAGTCGACATATCTCAGATTTATGATGGCATGCCACAAGCATATCATCCACATACAACAGTAAAAAAATATGTGTCAGTTTTGAGATTCTTTTATAGTAAAAACAGCTGTCAAAATTACATCTATTAAACCCTATTTCTAGCATAAAAGAATCAAATTTCTTATAACCCTAAACCATATAATGATTTTTTTAATAGACAAACTTTACCTGTAACATTGTTGTATCCTTCAGGTTGCTCCATTAGAATACTTTCTTCTAAATCCCCATGCAAGAAAGTTGTCTTCACATCAAGTTGTTCTAATTCCAGATTGAATTGAACTACTAGAGAAATCAGGACCCTAATGGATGTATGCTTGACCACGGGAGAAAATATTTCTTTATAGTCAACCCTCTCTACTTGTGTGAACCCTTTTGCGATTAACCTAGCCTTGTACCTAGGTGCATCCTGAGTTTTTAAACTTGGTTTCCTTTTGAAAATCCATTTACATTTTACCACCCTACAGTCTTCTGGTTTATCAACCAAAACCCATGTATTATTCTTCATAAGAGAATCAAATTCTTCCTCAATGGCTTTCTTCCATTCCAATTTTTCAGATCCAGAAACTGCTTCTTGGAATGTCTTAGGTTCATCATTCATCTCTCCCTCCACCTGAAGTGCATAAGCCACCAGGTCTGCATATCCTAGTCTACTTGGAGGTCTGATTGTTCTCCTAATTCTATCTCTTGATAATTGATAATCAGTCAAGTTTGAAGTATCTACACCTGGAGTATTCTGTCTTACTTCACGATCACCAGTTGGTTCTTCCTCATGAGTATCTAACTCCTCAACTCCACCTTGATTCAAACTTGGGCTAAAACTGGAGTTTGTCACTTCTAGTTCTAGGTGTCTAGCTTCTAAATAAGAGATCTCAGATTCATCAGGTTTGTTTCCTAAGCCAGGTAGGGTATTTTCTCTGAATATGACATCTCTACTCACAATACATTTCTTAGTTTCTAAATTCTAGAACTTGTAGCCTTTAACCCTATCTGGATATCCTAAGAAAATGCATTTAATGGCTATAGGTTTTAAATTTTCATCCTTAGAATGAACATAGGCTAGACATCCAAAAATTCTAAGGTTTTCAATGTTTACAGGATGACCAGTCCACCTTTCAAGTGGAACCCTAAAACCTATAGCTGATGAGGGTGTTCTGTTTATCAAGTAGAATGCAGTATGGACTGCTTCTGCCCAGAACTTGACTGGAAGTTTGGAACATGACAGATGCTTCTTACCTTTTCTAGAATAGTCCTATTCATCCTTTCACAGAACCCATTCTGTTGTGGAGTGTGTCTCACTGTCTTATGTCTAACTACCCTATTAATTCTACAGTAGTTATTAAACTCCTTGTTAATGAATTCCAAACCATTATCAGTTCTTAACTTTTTCAGTTTCTTTCCATTTTGCTTTTCAACCATGGTTTTCCATTCCTTAAATCTAGAAAAGGCTTCATCCTTGGTTTTAAGAAAATAAATCCAAACATGCCTAGAGTAGTCATCTACAAGACTCAAAAAATACCTACACCCTCCAAGTGAATAATGCCTAGATGGTCCCCATAAATCAGAGTGCACATACTCAAGTGGTGAGCTTGAGTAGTGCTGTCCAGTCCCAAATTTTACCCTGCACATTTTCCCAAATACACAGTGCTCACAAAAATTTAGATTCCCTGTTTTATCCCCACCCAATAGGTTTTGTTTACTGAGTTCACCTAAGCCTTTTTCACTAACATGGGCAAGCCTTCTATGCCACAAGGTGGTCTTATCTAGTTCCTCAGTTGACCCAAAATTAGCCACTCCACTATCAGTCCCACCTTTCAACACATACAGACCATTTTTTTTGTCAGCCTTCATGACAACTAGGGAACCCTTTAAGACACCAAGACTCCCATTAGCAGCCTTATAATTCAGACCTATAGAGTCTAAAGTTCCAAGAGAGATAAGATTTCGTTTTAGGTCAGGGATATACCTAACATCAGTAAGTGTCTTAGTTAATCCACTATGGAGATTTAGATTAACAGATCATATTCCCTTAATATGACAGACAACATTGTTTCCCATCACTACTTTCCCACCATCTAAAGGTTGAAATGAGCTAAACCACTCCCTATTAGGTGTCATATGATAGGTGCAACCAGTGTCTAAATTCTACTCTTCCCTAGTACTACCCTCTGAAATAACTAGGACCTCTGAACTCTCATAACCTTCTGATACTACCCCTGCACTACCTCTATCATCCTCTTTCTCATATTTCTTCTTCTTTCTCTCAGGACAGTCTCTCCTAAGGTGACCCTCCTTATGACAGAAGAAACACTTCCATTTCCCAGGTTTGGACTTAGACCTATGTCTATTCTACCCTCCCCTTTTCCAGTTCTTCTTTTTAGATCTTCCTCTTACTACAAGACCCTCACCATCACTCACATTTTTATCCGTAATTCTATTTTTAGTATCCTTAGCTGAGATAGCTTCTACTACTTCTTCTAATTTCAGAGTCTGCCTACCATATTTCAAAGTCTCTACAAAATTCGAGTAGGATTTGGGTAATGAATTCAACAAAATCACAGCTTGGTCCTCATCACCAATTTCAATGGAAATACTCTCTAAATCTTGTATAATCTTAAGAAAATCATTCTTATTATCTTTTAGAGATTTTTGTTCATCCATCTTAAACCCAAATAAACTCTGTTTTAGAAATAAACGATTAGGCATAGTCTTAGACTGATAAAGTGAGTCTAACCTGCTCCATATCTCTGCAGAAGTCTTTTCCTTTTTGACTTCTCGAAGCACTTTGTCACCCAAGCCAAGGATCAACGAGCTCTTGGCCTTGTTCAGCATGTCTTGTTTTTCAGTAGTGGTTAATGTTGCAGTTAACTCATCTTCTCCCTTCAGAGCTAACGCCAAGCCCTCTTTAACCAGTACTGCCTCCATCTTTATTTTCCATAGTCCAAAGTCGTTTTCACCTATAAACTTCTCAAGCTCATATTTAGTCGACATGTTTTCTCACAGATCAGAAAAACATTTAGCAACAGAGAGGGAATTAGTTTAAAGAAACTCAGAGAAATGTATTTAGGCAAGATTAAAACAGAGAAACCCTAACTGGACCTTCAATCGAGCTCTGATACCAATTTGTTAAGATTCTAGGGTTTATGATTAAACCTAAATTAGTCTCAAACAGGTCATCAATCAACGATTAAACACAAGACAAATGGAAAAATAAGAACAAACATAAAACAGGACACAATAGTTTATAGTGGTTCGGCTTTACAGCTTACATTCACTCTCCAAGGCTCACAATAGGGAATTTCATTATCAATCAATAATATATAGTGAGAATGATTTCATCAGAACATAAAGGAAAAACAAACAAGGAAGGAACACACCAATTCGTAAAGCCCTAACTCTCTCAACCAGAAATCTGCCTTTTCCTCCAGCACCAGTAGGTGTTAAATACACATGCTCTAAGCCTGAGTCATTATCCAGCTGTCTCTAATTCTCCATAACCGCAAGATCACAAAATCAATTCTAGAACATTCGGTAGGGTTATGAGTTGTCGAAGCAAAGCTGAAATGAGAGAGAGGAATGAAGTCTGCACACAAAATGAGATAACCCAAACAGATAACATATTAGGTTTGGCCAAAAACGATGTCGCATAAGAGAGTTTGACTTTAACACTTAAGCTGACTTCCACCGTGGCAAATAAGGAGCCACATCACCACAATTTTTTTTTTCAAAAAAAAAAAAAAAAAAAGTTTTGTTAATGAAATTAATGACAACTGAATTATGTTTTTATACACTGAATTGTTTTGCCTCAGGTTTTTTACAATTTTTTACTGGATTCGGGCATGGACCGATATCACTAGCAAATGTTCACATGAGGTTTGATTTACTGCTAACTTTTGCATTTAGGAATTGCTTATTTGGTTGATTCAGAATGGATAATGGATATATGTAAAAGCAAAGGTTTAGCATTTTTTCAAGATAGTAAAAATCCACATATTCAAGTTCTTAAACACTTTAGGTACTTTGAAAGCTATGTGTTGGAGACATAACCTTCAGAATATGGTTTGGGTGAGATAAATTGATTGAAACTTGATTAAGTCAATCTGTAATAAATTTTAAGAAATGCAGGAAATGTAAAATACCCCTCGAAATACAGCAGAACAATTTTTGAAGGCATAATGAATTAAGTATTTTGGAACATGGCAACTGCCAAAACTACTGGATTGTGTTCTCTAACATCATGAGAATTTAGCTCACATCTTCAATGCAATTTTTTTGTTTACTTTTGCAAGTTTAGATTATTGTCAATTTTTTCTGGTAACTTAAATTTCTAGTTCCACTTTACCTTCTTCCCCTTTATTTATTTATTTATTTATTTTGTGGTTTGTATAGGAGATTTTGCTAAATGAATTTGATGCTGTTGCATATAGAATTCTGGCATACTTTCTTTTGGGTTTAGTCAAGATATACTCCAAAAAAGTTGAATATCTGTTTGATGCATGCAATGATGTATTGATTAAGATTAATGACTTTGTGGTTGGTGAAAAAAGTAAGTCACAGAAGGGAAAACTGAGTTTACCGTATTATGCTATTACTGTACCAGATAGGTTTGAACTTGATGCTTTTGATCTGGAGATTCTTGCAATAAGAAGGTACTTTATCAGAAAAAATTGCAAGAAGAAGGTACTCAAGATATTGCAATAAGAAGTACTCAAGATACCTAAGTTACTTGAAATCTGCTACTACTTCTGATGGAGATGGTGATCTTGATGGCTTGATGAACGGGGAAATTAAAAAGAAGCTCTAAGATTATTCTTGAAAATGTGACGTAAGTCTTCTTCTACTTCTTTTCAAATAAAAAATGGAAGTGAATGGTTTGATATTTTACTCAAGATTTTGATTATACTTTTCACAGATGAGGAGGGCAGTCGGATTACGTATTCACATAGCTTCAAGGTGATTTTATGAGACCCAAGATTAATGAGGTACATTAGGAATTTCAAAAAAAGTTAGTATTGGCATAATTTTTCATGATTTAATTGACATAAATAACTTAATTTATACTTCGAAGGAATCATTCTGTCTGAAAATATATGATTCCTTTGTCACCACTCAAATGTGTTTGAAAGCTCAACTATAACTCTTTTCATTTGGTTTAAAATTGAAGTCAAACATTCCATACTATCTTCTCATATATAAAATGCATGGTTGCCAAACACGTCCTTATCATTTTGGGTGCATTTGTGATATGGGTTTTTGTTTTGTTTTCATAAGATGATTCTAAATTTTACATTAATCATCTTTTATCTTACAAGTGGATGAGCTACTTGCAAAAGGGGTGAATGTCACCACATACAATGGGCAAGTAAGCCATTTTTATATTTATAATCAAGAGTCATTTTCATCATAAACATAAAACCTTAGAAAATGGGTTGCACATATTCCTATGGACCACCCAATTATCAGACCATTTTCATTTTTTGGTTTAACTGGTATTGTGATTATGACGTGATTTTGTGGTTAATTGTAGTTGGATGTAATTTGTACAATAAAGGGAATTGAAGCATGAAATTTATTAAATATAACAGATTTATCGACTCTTAGGTATTCTCTCACTCTATTCAATTTGTTTATTAGGTTATTGTGTACATTTAATTGATGTGACTGGTGATTAATGGATCTCATTTGATGTCAATTTTTGTAGGTAGATCTCAAAGTTGCTTTGGGATCAAGGTGTGTACAGTGGCGAAGGAATCATCAACTGAATAGTTGTTTGGTTATTGTATATATTTAATTGATGTGACTGGTGATACAATTTTTGCTGATAGATCTTAAAGTTGCTTTGGGATCAGGGTGTGTACAGTGGCGAAGGAATGAATAATTGTTTAGAAGGTTTTATGCTTCTTCTGGCAAGTGGTAGATGAGTATCAGAAAAAAATTGGTGATTCATGGAAAGACTGTACATGTAGACAACTCTCAACCATGGCCCTATCTGAATGAAGCTTTGACCAAATTTCGAGTATTTTTTATTTCTTTGTCACTCTTGACCATATTTGCAAACATCAGTAAGAGAGTATTTGAATGTTTTTGCAGGTTTACCAGGTGGGTGTCGAATCCAACAAATAATAAAATTCTCACTCTCAAATAAATACAAATTGTAATAGTGATGAGCAAGGTCGTATCCACAGAGATTGGGTAGATTTATTTTAATGAAAATTAAAGCAAAGAAAAAGGGGTTTTAAAATTTCGAAGTGAAATAAAAGAAAACAATTATAATCAACTAAAAATTAAAGAAAAATCAATATCAGGCAAATATCCAACCAAAGGTATAATTTCAGAATTGGTTCAGAGAATTGATCACAGATCCCTATTTTGGCTAGAATTGGTAGTTTCTCTAATTATTAATGTTGTCGATAGATTAAATCCTAAGAGCTTGTTTAGGGTTGTTTATTGACAAGGGAAGTAATCAAAGAGCTTGTTTTGGTTATCGAGAAAGTAAGGAGAGATAGGTTGTGGTCATTAATTCTGAAATTATACCTTTGGTTGGATATTGTTGATAGACTAAACCCTAAAAGCAAATCCCACCAAAATAGGAAGTCTTGGCAAATCCTAGAGATTAAGAAAGGGTAAATAAATCTTTCCAGCTGTCATACATATCTTTTTCTCCAACAAATTCGTAACCCTAGGTCAAAAATCTCAGATCTAGTAAGGCGCGCCCACGCTTTAAGCAAAATCCGCTTCTGGAATGTATCTCTTTTTGAGCTCCGATTTTTTTTCTCTCCAAATCTCTTGATTTTGAATTCAATTTGATTTAACTCCTCAATCTACTCCATAAAATACAAAACATAATCAAAATCCAAGATTTAAGCATTTATAACCATTAAAACATGAGGAAATATAACAAATATATAGATATTATGAATGCTTATCATTACCCTAGATTCCAGATTCAACCAAACCCTCAAGAATGTTCAAGGGTATAATAAAAAGTTGAACAATCCGTAAAACCATTACAGATGCAACCGAAGCTTTTAAAAAGAAAGAAAAAGAAAAGAGAAGAAAATATCACACTTGGGCAAAAATATGTCCAGCTCCGATAGATAATGTGCGCAATATCACACTTGGGCAAAAATATGTCCAGCTCCGATAGATAATGTGCGAATGTCAATGATGTATTGAATATTTGAATTTGAATTTGTTTCTTCAGTTTGTATGTTGTGCTCACATAAATAAAATTGAATTGTCCTAGAGTGAGTAAATTGGTATGCATAACACTTCATAAACAACACTACATTATCGACAAACAACAATACTTGAAATACAATTCTATAAACATACCCGTGTAGTGCATACTATCACATTAATTTCAATAACACTTCATAAACAACACTATATTATCGACGAACAACAATACTTGAAATACAATTAAATAAACAAACCCGCACAAATATATGCCAATTAAAAGGGAAATGAAGAAAACCCTAAATAAATAGTAACCCAATTTTCAAGCAAAGCAGCCGGACCCTTGGTTCAACATTAATTGTCCGGTTCACAAAACATTAGACATTACAATTTAATAATACTTAAATGGATTAAATGGGTATACATTGACATGTAATATTTATATGAAAATACTATTCTTAATTACTTTAATTATTAATTGAACATTAAATTAAATACTATCACAAATAATTTCTAATTTATTATTTTACTCAGTCTTAGGTTACGATTTATATTGTATAATTTTCAAATTATGTTAGTATATTCTGTAATTTATAACTAACATAATTAGAAGATTCGATAGATCATTTCCGACTTATACAATGTATGTACCTCAATGATAAACATCCAATTATTCAAACAAATATAGTGTACCAATTTCATAGGCAACCCGCGCAGCGCGCGGGCTTTTTAACTAGTTAACCATATAACAATATAATGTTTTCTTTGAAGATGAATAAAGTGTTAGAGAGTGGGGTGACAATGGTGGAGAGATTATACATATTATTTACAATTAAATGTATTGATATGTTATTTATATTGTGAAATGTGGAGTACTAACAAGGTAGGTTTCCTGATTCTTATATGTATATATTAGTGAATTCATGGTAATTGTTTTGGTAAAAGAATAGTTAATTTGGTGGATATAGATAAAGATTTTTTTAGAATTTGTTTAAGAAAAAAAAAAAAAAGATAAATAATAAAGAAGTCATTTAGTTGGGAATAAAACTACTAATTAAGGTTACCACTTTTATTATGTATGTTGGTTAATTTGACTATTTCTATAGAACAAATCAAAATTAATATGTTTTGATTTAGAATTAGAGTTTGTTCGTAGAACTTAATTTGTATTTGTATTTTAGATCTTCTGCCTGTGTTAAATTTCTTGCTTGAATTGGTTATTGAGTTAGCAATGTTTTTGTTCACTGATTGAGTAATTATTATAAATTGGACCTGGCCAATTAGAGAAGTTTTTAAACTACAGTTTAAACTATAAAATTTATGATTTTTCTGATTATTCTTTGTGAAGAATTGAAGGTCTTTTGAAACCTTCAGTTAACAATATAAACTTGACTGAACTTGGAGTGTTAGTGAATTCTAATATGAGTTATTGAGTATCTTGTTGGGAAAAACATTTAGGTTGGTGTGGGGCTCTAGAATCTTACGAGGCCTAACAAGAATGTTCCATTACATCGGCTCAAGCATTGTGATCCAATTTCGGTTGGATTAGCACCAGAGCTTGTGACTTGGGCAGAATTGCGACCTCCAGATCCAGCCTTCTTCCAGAATGGGTGACTCCAGCGGCCCACCTAAGGCCAGACCTTCCAGACCAAGGTAAGTAGCATTCTTCCTATTTTAC